GGATGGAGAACACCTATTAAGTCTTCTAATGTACTATACTGCCAGCATATGATAGCTACTTACAGTGCATTTTCCATTCCTTTGTCCAGTCTGTTTTTAATTGAATAACGCAATTGGGCTGCTACCACTTCTTCTGGCAAACACTTCATCAGTAAACCAGATTTCAACGGCAGAAAGTACTTCCCAATAATATGCCTATATTTTCCTTTGCTTAACATCACTCCATTATTTTTATTTGCACTCCTACAGACCACCCAATACAGTTGTGGCACATAATTATATTTTAGGGAAGCAGACCTTTAGCAGGCTGCTCCAAAGAAGGTAAAAATTATTTCAAATACCACAGTCTAGTACAGTTATGGAAACAAAAATTCAGTATCTAAAACATTTTATCATCATTAAGTGTCTACTACCAGTCACTAGTCCAAAATCAGTTACAGATATTCTCTACCAGAAGACTGGAAAACAAACGTGCAAGTGCACGACTGAAAAAAAAAAATTAAAAAAGAAACTATTTAAAACAGAGTATTTCAGATTTACACATTCACTAAATCCCTGAAAATTATGTATGTATAAATTATGTAACATATATGTATAGTATTTCAACACTGGTAATTACAAAGCTGAAAATTATGCTCATCAACAGAAAGATCAAGTGACACTTGTGACATAGCTTACTTTACTTCACATCAGTCAATAATGATTAAATTACCGATCTGTAAAAGAGTAAACACTCCTTTTTACGGTTTAAATTTTTAAACAGTAACTTCTGATACACTACCATATGTAATCTTTTGTTATGACAAATTAGATCTGTTTACTAAATTCCTAGTCTATATATGAAGCATGTTAATCATGTACAGAGTATGTTTCACATTTGCAGATATTTGCAAGAAACAGGGATCAACAGATACACCAAGATAGCATACACAGATGTAGCAGTATACTTTTCCCACACAGATGCAATATACAAAAGACTTGTAGTTGCTCTTTTTCTGCTTTTTCAGACACATTCTCTTTGTGAATTGAAGTAAAAAAAATCAGTAAACACCATACTACTATTAAATAGTGTGAATTATAAATGCATCAAGAATTTTATTTGAGATTATTAAACTGTGATATCTACAAATAAATATGAGTTTTCTTAACAAGGAGACAGAATAAGAAGCAACTTTTCTTATAACCTGCAAGAATTCACCACTGTGAATTCTTTACGATGCTTTTAACGTACTCATTCCAGTTAGAGTATAACCATCATGTACCTAAACCTCACAGATTTTTCAGCCAGCAATTATTTGTAGACTCTGTAGATAACATTTGTAAATAAGGGTCCAGGACTTACTCAACTGAATCTATTATGTATTTCATAAAAAAAAAAAAAAAGGCAATTTTATAGAAATTCTACTCATAATTTTTGATAGGAATTAGTCGTTTATCTAGACTAGATGAAGAACTATGTCAGAGCACTGCACTGGAAACTACTCGCTGAGATGGGCATAGGTGACTGTTGGTAATCAACATCATGATGTAGGTAGATTTCATTAAAATTAGTTAAAATCACCAAGTCTGTGTGTGCAAGCATGCATATACCTTTAACAAAAGGCACACTGATTTTGCAAGAGTACAAAATTCATCGTTACTTATTAGATGAAACAATTTGCAGTAATAGATAGCTATGTTAATTGATAAGCATTTTGTAGCTCACAAAGTATAATACATTTCAGAAGTTTTGCATTTTTTTAACTAAAAAGTGTTAATCACATTATTTAAGGCTAAGCAAAACATTCAGTATTCAAACACAACCAACCACATCATCATAAATACTTTTATGTAATCTCTCCTTTTGTTATATATCAAATGATAAAAACACTGGTTTTAAGAATAGTAATCTTCCAATTATTCCTGATAATTTAATGGACTTCTCTCACAATGGTGATTAATAGTATAACGGGGTAGGAGACGAGAAGTAGGGAACTTGAAATTAGTATTATGTGTACTACTGGCAAAATTGGAAATTATTGCTCCTTCTCCTTTATGCCCACATTTTAAAACAAAAACATGAAGACTAACTACGTCTCTCAGTTTGACTGCAGGTAGCACATCTAATAAAAGAAATGCAGTACAGTTCCACCAAAAGCTCCCCCCTGTCCACACACAATTCGCCATTGTCCTCCGTCTCCCTGCCACCCTGAAACACTCTTCCCAAGACTGGGAAGGTTGTAATTTGTGTTTATATACAGTTGTTTAAATATGAAAAGCGAAAGAGAAAATATTCATAACTAAACAAAAGATATGAAGAAAAACACCCAGTAAGAAAAGTAAGTAATGATAAGAGATAAACACGGAATTTAAGTCACGTTTAAGTTGCGGACTAGCTTCTTTAGTCTTCCTCCGCAGTAAACGTACATTTAACTGAATCTCAGCCCTCTGGATGTACAGACACCGGGAAGGTTCATTTCCTAATCTGATGCTGAAAGATATACATCATGAATAGTTTCATAGAGAATTTGCAAAATGTTTGAAACATATTCTATTATACACCTGAAAGCTGTTTGTAATTCTGACAAATGTTGTGGCAATTTTATTTGTAGGCAGTTTAGTACACAGGGAAAAATAGGTGTATTCTCACCCAAGAAATCACATCTTTTCTAAAAACACTCTTTTGACACCCAGAGCTAAAAGCACACATAGCAATCAGAACACTGAATTTTCAATTTCTTTGGTCAGATAATTATTTTCTCAAATTGACATGAAGATGTTTTCATATGAATTAAATTTCTCGTAAGCTTTAATTGATGGAAACATATGTTAGGTGTGCCCACATATATGAAGATAATATTTCCCTTAATAAAAATATAGCATGTATTTCATCTGTCTGGTAATTAGACTATATTATGTGTGACACAGACAAGAAAAACAGGATTCTTAAAATTACTGCTCTTATTTTCTAAGTACAATTTGGTCCTAACCTTGTCATCCTGCTGTAATATAGTACTTTTGACCCAGAACCTTTGTGAACCGCAGTCAGCCCTTTGTGCTCACAAGTGGCAAGAAGTGGGTATAGAGCCCATAAGGACCTTTGTTAAATCCACAGAAATACTGATAATGCAGATTAGAAGTCTTACATCACCTAACTTTTGACACCTCTGTCAAAAAACTAATTGTGCTGAAATTTCCTATGTTGCACAAGGAAAAAGTCGTATAGTGAAGTACTTCAAAGAAGCCAAACTTTACTCCACTGAATCTCTCTTTCTCTGTTTACTAAAATGAAGCCAAGACTGACAATAAGTGAGCTGCTACTGATTAGGTGATCTGAATGCCCCCACTATTTAAAGTAAGTTTTTCCTCATCTCATCTAGGAGATACACACACATACTCCCATTTCAGGTTTGTGACCAATACCTATACTGCATTCTTTGCCTATTTCTAATTTAGAGGAAAAAAGAATCTCCATCTCTCACTTCCAATAGACACATCCCAGAGAAGGTAGTTTCTTTGGTTTGGTTTGGTTTATTGTTGTAAGCCAGACATCTCTGATAGTTTCTTAAAAGGTGATACCTGCCAAAATTAATTGAATGAGAAGCAAAATATATGCCAATGGTCTGAAGAAGTCTTTAAAAACCAAGCAGTCAGGACAATCCCTAAACACTTTGCTCCCAGACACAACCACATAGTAGATTTTTTTTTCCCCCCAGGAAAAAAGAGATCTAGCCAAAGACACTCCTACTCTTCTCTATCTGCAATCTTGTCTTCATTTCTCCCCACAGTTTTCTTCCCCTCTATAATGCCAGTGAAACTGATTGCAGAACTGCAATTTTAAATTGGTGCTTTTTAAACCCAAATTATTACATTAATGTGGCTGAGTGATCAGTCAGCCCAACTGCTACCATAGCACAACTGAAGCTGTGTCAAACCTTCAGACAGGCGTAGCATTAATTTTTGGAGGAAAAAAAAAGATAAAATTAGTATAAGCAAGAAGGATTCTCTTAAACTAGCTTGTTCCCCAGGAAAGCTTTAACAGCAAAGCACAACCTGAAATAACCAAAAGTGTCTACAGATACAGATTATACTGGTTTCTTTCTTATTTTAAAAGGGTCCTTTCCTTTCAGCCAAAAAATCAACATGGAACCACATTCCCGGCTGTAATTTAATGCACTTCAAGCAGGAAACAATTTAATGTTAGCTCCCAAAATATTTCAAGTAATAGAAAGCTAATTTTAAAAGTATGTTTTAGCATTAGAAAATAATATTAGTTAAATGTTACTATTTTTCCTCATTTAGGTGAGTACAGAAAGAGAAAAAAGAAGAAACAAGCAAATCAAAAATGCATTGGGGGCTGGAATTTGAAAATGGAAGCGTACGTGCCACATCAGGAATTAAAAACAAAGTTACAGTTTATGGAACCTATCAGATTAATACTAAACTGCAGCTCCAACATGTAGGCATACCCTGCTTAAAAAAACCCAAATCACAGACTGGTTTGGGTTAGAAGGGACCTTAAACCCCATCCAGTCCCACCCCCCTGCCCCGGGCAGGGCCCCCTTCCCCCAGCCCAGGGGGCTCCCAGCCCCGTCCAACCTGGCCTTGAACCCTTCCAGGGAGGGGGCAGCCACAGCTGCTCTGGGCACCCTGGGCCAGCGCCTCACCCCCCGCACAGGGAAGGATTCCTAATCTATATCTAATCCAAATCTACCCTCTTTTGGTTTAAAACCGTTACTCCTCGCCCTATCACGACACTAATCTAAAACTTAAATAGCAAAGTAATACTCTTAGTAACATTTAAGAAAGTAACAGAAATAGGTCTATTGATACCAGGTTTTGAGAGGAAACCACAAACCTGTTTCTAGTTTGGCCTGTGGCAGAGTTCACAATATTCATTCAATATGAAATATGTATCACAGATCTATTTAATTTTAAAGAACCTAACAAAATACATTAGTGTGCCAAGAAGGTCCTTCTCATAGTTTAAGAGTCAAATTTAAATATTTAATTATACTTACAGAGCCGTCTTTCAGACTTCTTTCATAGGAGAAGAGACACTCCGTATTTTCTTCATCTCTTGAAATAGCAAAATTATATTTGCCAGCTGATTCTTCTCCAGCTATCAATGCCTTCTTCAGTTCTTCAACATACTTTTCTCTATTCATCTCCATGTCTGCAGCCTCCCTAGAAATTTCTGCTTCAGACACTATAAGAAAGAAACGTGAGAAATAAATATTCATCTGTGTGTACATATATATATTTATATATACATACAGACACACACTCACACACCTTAGGGGACAGGCAAATATTAGGAAACTATTCTTTCCTGGACGTATATCAGTGTGCCAGACACTAATGGAAATGTAGCCAGGATACTGTTTTTTTAAGAATTCAGTTCTATCCCTTTTTTTTATGGTCTAATGATTGTTTATTGCTACTAGTCCACAATTCTACGTGCCTAAAGTTACCTTACAACAGTGTGGAATGTTTTAACTATGATTTATTGTGCTCTCTCACTTCTCTCTGAAGGTGTGTAATCTAAACCCTTTAAGGCAACAGATGCAACTGTCTCCTCACACATTCTTGATCCAGTTTCCAAAGTTTGTAATTTACAATCTTAAAACAAAATAAACTCTCAATTTACAAATGAAGCTACAAATAGAGGCTTGAGAATCCATTTTTCACCATTCACATTCAAGGACCACTAAATAGGGGATGTGTTTCTGGTTTGCATCAGGTCTATAAAGAAAATTTTACTCCCTTCCTTTGAAGACAGGGAATAATTGAATAAGGTATAGAACAAGTCAACAGAGTTGTACTAAGAATCATCATAACCTTCCCTGTCTGCTTCTGATTATTTATTTACTTCTAATTAAATCTTCTTTTGGTTAATGCTCAAACTGAAATAGCAACTTACCAAGACTCATCATCTTCACTAGGATTAGCAAGAAGCAGTTCTTGATTTTACCACCTGGGCCCCTGCTTACTTTCCTTCCTTTTTATTTTATTCTACATACAGTTCTTCAGTACTTTTAGAGATCAAATATTAATCAGAACAGTGATCTCAATGAGGAGTGCAGAGATTCTTGCAGACGGATACAAGTAAAGATTCTAAATCAAAGTTAACATAGGATGTATATAATGTAATGCAGGCTTTAATGTATAGCCTACCAATACAGTATTTTAGATTGTTTACTTGATTAACAGAAATGTTTCCTTTTCTTCTGACCAACCTTCTGAGGAAGACAACTCTAGATTGTAATTTACCCCTGCTTGATCTTCTATCTTTCTAGCATTTGCCCAGCATTTCAGAGAGCAAGATATGGAAAAGGACATTATTTGTGACAGCCTGAAAAAAAACTACAAAAAAACAAAACAAAAAAGCAAACAGAAACATACACATCAAACCTTCCCCTCTCAAAAAAAAACCCCAACCCACAACCCCAAAATACATCTTTCACAGACTGCAAGCGATTTAAAGTATCCCACTTAAAACCCCTATTAATAACTGTATTTCTTCTCTATACAAGTGCCTTTGAAGATAGTTTCCTACTGAGACATAAGCCTGCAAATGTATTGAAATCATACTGATAGAAATAGAACAGCATTTCAATCAAACATGAGCCTGTTCAAATTGACTCATTTTCCTCCATCTTCTTGACACAGTAGCTAGCCTCATATTGTAAAGGAGGCAGTACATATCAAATCAATCCATCATATAAAAATAAAGCAAAGAGGTAAATGTATAATTATTTGCTAAGAACAGTTACATTCTCACACATCTCAGCATTTCAGGATTAATTCTGCACCTTCAGTAATTTTAGCTTATTTTCACAGACTCTGAGTGGTTGGGGTCAGAAGGGACCTCTGAGTATTGTCTAGTCCAACTAGAGCAAAGAAGGGTTGACTACAAAGGTTGCTCAGGACCATGTGTTGAATGGGGTTTGAACAATTCCAAGGATTGAAGCTCCCTGTCCTCTCCAGGCAATCTGTTCTGGTGCTTGGTCACCCCTATGGTAAAAAAGTTTCTTCCTGTGTTTAAACGGAATTCCTTGTATTTGTTTGTGCCCATTGTCTCTTGTCCTTTCACTGACATCACTGAGAAAAGCCTGGCTGCATTGTCTTTACTCACTCTCAGCAGGTATTAATACATATTGGCAAAAACTCCTTGAGCCTTCTCTCCTCCCGGCTGCACAGTCCCAGCTCTCTCAACTTCTCCTAGCATGACAGATGCTCAAGTCCTTCAGTCATCTTCACGGACTGTCACTGCACTCAAATCTGTAAGTTCACATCTTTCTTCTTTCTCATACTGGAGAGTCCAGAACTAGACACCACATCACTGGGCTCACCAGGCCTGAGCAGAGGGGAAGGATCACCTCTCTTCACCAGCTGCCAACACTCTTCCTAATGCAGCCCCGGAGGCTGCTGGCCTCCTTTGCCACAAAGCCACATTGCTGGCCCATGTTCAACTGTTTGTCCATCAGGACTCCCAGGTCCTTTTCAACAAGGGACCTGCTTCCAGCACGTCACCAGTACAGGCTGGGGCCTTCTTCCTCCCCAGGTATACAGTTTTGCATTTCCCTTTCTTGAATTTCATGGGATTCCTGTCAGTCCATTTCTCCAGCCTGTCCAGGTCCCGCTGAATGCCAACCCAATCCTCTATCAAATCTTCCTCCAGTTTTGCATCATCTGTAAACTTGCTGAGGATGCACTGTGTCATCATCCAAGTGATTAATGAAGACATTAACAGTACTGGACGCATTACTGAACCCTTTTGAACCAGGCCACTAGCAACTGGCCTCCAGTTAAAATTCATGCTATTGATCACAACCCTTTGAAATCTGGTTGAACTGACCAAGCTCAATCTGTTTCACTGTTCATCTACCTAGTCCATACTTTACCAGTTTGTCTATGAGGATGTTAGAGGCCACGGTGCTGAAACCCTTGCTAGCTAAAGACAAAATAAACATCCACTCCTCTTCCTTTATTCAACAAGCCAGTAATTTCAGAGAAAGTTATTGGGTGGGTCAGGCACCATTTCCCCTTTGTAAATCCACACTGACTATTCACCATCTTCTTAGTATTTTTTGAAATGGTTTCCATGATTATTCCCTTAACAATCTCTGGTTGATCAGTTACCCAGATCCACCCCCCTTACTCATCCAAAGATAGGAGAGACATTTCTTCTGGTCCTAAAAACATCCCCTGACTACTAACTATTACCTTGCAAAAATAACCTACATGGGCCAGATCCCTCAGTACTCAGTCTCATCCAGTCAGGTCCCATGGAGTTGTGAATCTCTAGTTTCTTAAGGTATTCTCTAACCTGATCCTCCTGCAAGGGCAAGTCTCCTTTGCTCCTGACTTTCCCACTGATCTGAGGGGCTTGGGGGTTCTAAAGGCAAATCTTAACCAGAAAAGACTATGGCAAAGAAGGCACTGAGTAGTACCTCGGCCTCTTCCATGTCCTTTGTCACCAGTCTCCCTGCCCCACTCTGCAGCAGGCCCACATTTTCCCTCCTCTTCCTTTTGGTGCCGATTAGACTGCAGAAGTCCTAGCTGCCCTTCACATCCCTTGCCAGATGCTATTCCAGGTAGTCTCTGGTTTTCCTATCCCCATCCCAGCATGCTTGGTCACCGTCTCTATATCGCTCCCCAATCACTTTCCCCTGGCTTCCACCTCTTGCACACTTCCTTTTTATGTCTGAGTTTAGCCTGGAGCTCTTTGTTCATGCATGGAGGCCTCCAGCCACCTTTGCTTGATTTTCTGTTCCAGTGAGATGAACAGTTTCTGAGCTTCAAAGAGGCGATCCCTGAAAAATCAACGATCTCTCCTGCTTTTTACACTGTTCCCACCTCACACAACCCTGAACTCCACCAACTCAATAGTCACTGCAGCCAAAGACTGCCCCCAGTTTTGACTTACCCAACCAGCTCTTCCTTCTTCATAAGTGCTAGCTTTTGTAGTCCTCTCTACACATCTCAAAATATGGAAAGCATGTAGACTTTACTGATCATAGACATAACGGGGGGGTGGTGGTGGTGTTTGGTTTGGTTTGGTTTTTCTGTTGGTATTTTTGTGCTTTTTTTTCTTTTTTAATAACAGGTCACAATAATCAGTTAGGTCATCTATTCACAAATACAACCATTTATGCACAAAAAAAAGAGGAAATACTACCTTGCTAATTCCCTTAAGTGACTACTATATGTTTGCAAAATCTGATACAGCAGGTCAGTCAACACTCCACTCTATTACTCTAAGACACAGGTGAACAGCTAGGTGAAAAAGGGGATACAGGTGGTGAGAGAGAGCATGCTAAAGTCACCACTGCAAGGAAACAAGCAGTTGACCCAAGGAGAAACTACCCCTTTATGTGGAAAATCTGAGCCTGCAGATACACTCACTTAAAAGGATAAACTAGTGGGTCAGAATCACATTAGTTATCCTCTAGCACAAGGCAATTTTTCCTAGGCAGATTCAGATGTGTTAGATCCTTCAAAAGCTAGAAAGCAAAGGGATGTAAGGGAACTGAACTGCCTTGGAATTACGATAAGGGAAAAAAAAAATAGAATAGGCTCAATAAATATGAGCAAGTCAGTCTCTGTCGCACTGAGATGTAAAATGACAGTGTGAAGTCTGTCACAAAGTTCCCCATATTCTCTGTAAAACACATAAAAACGAGTTATTCTCTGCACCCCTCTTCTTTATAAGATACAAGAGGAAACCTGTCAAACTCATACTAGCCTAACATAAAGTAAAAGCACAAGGCACGATGCATAACACATTACCAGATCTGCAACAACACAAATATTCAGCAGACGTCAGAAACTGCAAAAGTGTCATACATTAAAAAGAATATAGTAGTGATGTGGAGTCTGCATTAGAAAAAAACAGAAATAAAATAACTTAATAATCAGTATTCCTAGATTGGAGAAGACACTTCTATCCTTACATTTTAAGTTGCACTATCTATATTGCAGAGAAGGAAAAAAAAAAAGAAAAATTAATGGAAGTGGTTAGAAAAAAGAGACTAGGGAGAAGTGTGGCATATTATAACTGTATGTCCCCATACATCTGTAAACTCAAAATATGTGCTTTTTGTAAAAGCATATCTGCTGAAATGCAAATTGCATTCTGCTGTCCACTAGAGCAGACATAATAGACAACTGTACATAAATGTTTTTTATACAGCGAAATACTGATGAGCTTTAGGGCACTGAAATACTCTGAGATACCTAATGAACTGAAGATTCAAAACATTTATATTCCTTATCATCATTTAAAGAACACGTTACACTTGTCAAATTTATTCCTACAACCCAACAAGCAAGCAACTGCTAAATCAAAGTCATCTGTGCATGAACTCTCCCACATTAAGACTGACAGGTATGAATTTCACAACAGGACTCGGTACTGTCACAAACAGTACTGCAAAGTTGGAGGCCGTAAACTTACACTAGCCATTGCACATGCTGTCAGTTCTTCCCTACCTCACCGTAAGCCCTCAGCCCCAACATAACTGAACACATAGAAGTATTTTAGATGAAGTAGTAAAAGTATTTTCCAAGATCTTTAAAACTTATTTTAAGCATGAAGCGGATGTTACCAGAAAGGCTTAAAACTTTAACAATTGCCAGCTGCATCTTGGTTTTTTTACAGCTGAAAGCAGCACTTCTAATGTTCCTATAAAGAACAATACAGTGGATTTACTGTCAGGAAAAAAGCTAAGCCTACAAGTCAGTGAACAATTGGGGCTACAGTGCTGGTCAACACTCATCTTGCAGAGCTAGAAATCCACCACAAATAGCAAGAACTGAGTGGGAAAGGCAAGAAATTTACCATCAAAACATTTCTATTTCTAGACAGAGTTGAGAAAAAAAAGGCCACTAGTATGTCAGCAATCCCTATAAGTCCCTCAAAACAGTACAGACATAAATGTAGAATCCTTTGTAATATTAGGCAAAGAGAGGCAGAAAAAAGTAAGTTGGAAATACTTTTAATAATGTTTGTTTGGAACAATGATTTCAACACTGAGAAAAATTAGATAAACTTTTATTGAAAATAAGAAAGTTAAAAAACCAAATATACTAACATACTGTAATAGAGGACTGTGGGGTTTTTTCTCCTGTGGTGCCTGCACATGCTGCATATTCCTTTACTTTATAAAAGTAGCAGAACTGATCAATTATTAGAGAAACATAAAATGCATAAATTAATATAGCTGTAGTTCTTTAACTCTATACCAAGTGAATAAATTAGATCATTGCATATTTATGTTTCACTTCCCTCCCAAGAGTTACTTTTTTTTTCCCCCCCTCTCCTTAAATAGGACTGCTAACACTTTTCATCATCACATTAAATATACAGAAAACATAAAAGACAAGTCCATCACCAACTCTCATTCACTTCCTGGTAGGTCTTGCCAAGCAAAATAATCCACAGCATGAGAAACCCAAAAGGGATTTCCCATAGTAAGAATTTTCTGACCACTGCTTTCCCTCCTCCCAGGTTTTGAATTTAGACTCTAAGCACTCTCAGATGTGATGTAATAACTTAGCATGATCAAGAACAACATTGAGCATACGAAAACTCAGATCTGTGTAGTAAAAAAGCCTCATGCATAAGAATTTCAACTCCTAATGAAATTATTCAATGGACTACAAATCCAATAGGAATTCCTTAAAAATGGCTCAGATTCTTGCAGAAGAAATAGAAGCACTCTGCCTTGGATGAGTACCCAGTGCTCATGCTAAACTGTTGTGGGTTTCTTTTCTCCCTTTTAACAGAGTGAGGTCATCTTTCTTTCACTGGTCCTCTGTTTTGGGAAATTATCATCCAGACATTCTGCCAGATGCAGGAAGTTAACAAAATGAAAACTGTGTTTATGTACTTATTCTATACTCTTCCAGTTATAGTAACATAGCTTTATTTAGAAAAATAACAGACTCAAAGAATCAGCTTTTTGTGAATTTTAAGCAGCAGATTTAAAATTTACATAAGAACAAGCAGAAAAGCTTTTAAACAGAAAAACTAGTATGCTCAATTAGTTAACTACTTATCAACGTTAACATCCTTTTGGTTATTTTGAAAAATCACTGAATTGTATGGGTTGGAAGGGACCTTAAAGCCCACCCAGTCCCACCCCCCTGCCCCGGGCAGGGCCCCCTTCCCCCAGCCCAGGGGGCTCCCAGCCCCGTCCAACCTGGCCTGGGACCCTTCCAGGGAGGGGGCACCCACAGCTGCTCTGGGCACCCTGGGCCAGAGCCTCACCCCCCCCACAGGGAACGATTTCTGCCTTATGTCCAGTCTAAATCTGCCTGCTTTCAGTTTAAAACTGTTACCTCTCATCCTATCACAAAATATATCATTTGACTATCCTATTGTCAAATGAAGAAAGAAAAACTTTTCATAACAGACTACAGGGAACTGGCACTGGCGTACATGTATTTGTCTTATGCAGGAACTCCTAGTGTTTAAAATATTAAAAGGCATATGGATTTAATGCAGATTTCATACACATCTAGACATATTTTAAGTTAGTCTTGTTTCTTAGGTCTGAAAGAAAAAAGGTGAAAAATGTATTTAAATGGTTAATGAATGATTAAGTTTCTTTTTATACCCAGAAACTTCATATACACACACATTTATATAGCAAATGTTTTTGCCGATGTAAAATATATCATTCCTTCCTCCCTTTGAAATATTTTTGCCACTAAGAGAAGGGCTTTTCATCAAGTATTTGACACATTTCTAAAGGAATACACAAATACTTTCTTCTTCCAATAGGCATGAATGAGAGAAGCATTCACACATTGAGACCCATTCTCTTATTCAGGTTTCTGAGCCCACAGGCTAATTTTTTTCTTCTGATAACTTATGCCCAGGAAAAAATATTTCCTGTCCCTTCTCCTTTGCAAAAGTTCACCTGAGCACCAAATACAGCTACCTTTAATGATAAAGATTTTATGAAACCATTTTAAAAACATGTGCAATTAACTACTTCATGAACTGTAATGTGCAAATGGAACTTGCGTAACAAATTTGTTCAAGGATTTGGAGAAGGCTCGTAAGTGTTAGAGCACTTTTAGAGAAGTGCTCTAACACCACTGCAGGAAATTGTATTTTTGAGAATATACAAAACATTGCATATCCATATGCTAAATAAATTAGTATTAGGTTTGACACACAATCTTCCCAGATGAACCCCACCTCCTCCACCATTAGGCAGAGGCAATGCTTATGAAAAGCTTTGGAAGCAAGTTGTGGGTCACAGTTTAGAAACCGTTTAAAGTTAATAATGAGTAATAATTTAAAACATTTTTTTCCTTCCCATTATTACCTGTCCCAGTCCATGCACACTGACCATCACTAAGTATTATACCAAAGCCAATGCCTAAATCCTTTTCCCATGATACTTGTAGAAAATACGTTGCTTCAGGATCAGAAACAGGATGAATTCTGCTCAGTGTCTTCTCCATTTTCCAGACACCTGTTTAGAAAGTAAGATAATGTTATAACCAATGGCTTCTTTTCCAGAGGTGCTTAGCAGTTTTACATAACTAACTTCAGGAAAAAAAAAAAACAAAAAACAAAAAACAAAACAAAAAAAAAAAAAAAAAAAACACCAAAAAACAAATATAAGCTTACTTGGACTTCTATATTACTTTCCTCCATAAATTCAGTTTTTCAGAGAACTGATGACATTTCTAAACAGAAAACTGGTTTACAATAAGTAAGGTTTAAAAGAACAGTGCTAATAAGCAAGTATATTTGCATAAATTAAGAAACTAAGTGTCAGGAAGCTGGGGAACAGAAAATTACAATGCACAAGCACTTCCCCCTGACTATGTTCTTATCTTACTGTCTACTATCACCCAACACATAGCACATGGAATATAATCCAAAATAATCAATATTCATCTGGAAGACTGCTGTATGAAAGCATGCTAATAAGCTTCATTGGAAAGCAGAGGTTGTAGTGGATGCCATCAACAAAAGAGATTTTTTTAAAGAACAGGACGCTGTGGAGAACAGAATTTATGATGCTACAGTGAAGTTTTTGTTCAATATCAAAGCAATTTGGCAATCTGTACTTGACATAAGACCTTCTGAAGAATACCATGTATTTGTACATAGTCTAATCTGACCATAATGAATCTTCACAGTACTCAAGAATTTTAAAATAGCATTTGGTAATTTGCTCCATAGGATAACAAAGAAACAGCCACTTCTGAAGTTCACATTGACATACAGTATCTGCACCGAGAATGCTCCGTGTTGTCCAGTACCTGAAGAGTTTGTTTTGGGGTGTTTGGTTTTTTTTGGCTTTTAAGTTTTCTTTTTTAGAAGAATGAAGTGAATGAAAAAGGACTACATGTTGCCTCACACTAAAAATAACATGTATTGATAAAAACAGGAAAAACACAACCGATGCATTGAAACTACATGCACTAAGTACAATGATGTTTGGATAGGTTAGGTATTGAAAGCTCTATCAAGTTTTCCATCTAAAGTGTAGCAATAAGCAATCATGATCAGGTTCAGTTCAGGCTCTGAGGGGACTCTGTTCTTCAAGCAGTAGAAGGAAGCTCTTTCGTTGCTCATGGACATTGAGAGTCAAATACAGATTTAACTACCATTGCCCTCCCCAAAAGTTGGCATTTTCAGGTTAGGAGGAAGAGATTTAACTGCAGTTGTCTGCACTGTATCTGACCTTTGCTCAGCTCTGCACCCAACATTTGAAAAATGGCTTTCCCTTGTCCAGACAAGTGCATAGTATTCAAAAGCAGCAAAATATATGAATGTAAGACTTGTTTTTCAAGAATAAAATTGAAGTTACAGCTAGACAACTGCATTGTCAATAATACAAACATTCATTATATATATCAATAAGCTTAATGAAACAATACATTAACTACTTCTGATGGCTAATTAACCACAAAACAGATCACCTTGCACTAACAAATAGCATTTCTAATAAAAGGAACATCATGCAAAGTGTCTGCTACGAATTCCAGTCTGAACTTTGGCTAAAACATGTCCCTAGGCACTTCCAGCATTCCTGACTACCTATTACATTTTCATCACCAAATACTCAAAGTACTAACTTTATTTTTCCAGCTTAAAGCTTAAGTACACACAAGCACCATAACATTTCCCTGTTTAGAATATTTTTCCAAATATTTCATGATTGAAAAGCTATGGCAAGAGTAGAAAGAGATAAATCATGTATATATACACCTAAGCATCATAAATTCTCACCAACAACAGTAAGAGGGATGTCTTTACTATTTATAACCATAAAGCACCACTGCTTATACTGTCACGGATGTCATACTCTGCATTTCTATTCACAGAAAATGTGCCAGAAACTAAAAAGTTACTTAAAAGCAATAGTGAAAAACTAGTTTGAGTCCAAAAAAATGTATGCTGTTTTCATCACCAAGTAACTGGTCATTTCTGAAAATCTACGGTATGTCCGTGCACCTGTAATCAAGAACAGAAAATTAAATACATAGAGGCCTGGAACATGGCCTTTGCAATTAGTGATTATAGGACTAAAACCATTATAAAGATTTGTAGTGCACTAACTGCCTGGATGTGGGTCAATAAAAAGCACAGGCCAGGAAACACAAGTAACATGTAGCATGTTTAAGCACACAGACATGTATTTTCCCTTGCCTGCAAGATTCCCTTTTGCTTTTTGCTTGTTCTAGAAAAAAAGAGAGTCTGTTGTGAAATATTTTCATAACAGTCATCCTTTGAGAAATAATGTTTTTAAAAAGACTTTAATTATTCTTTTACTTAAAGACTGTAAAACAGTTGTATGCAACCCAGACAGACAGCATACAAGGTATCGATGCATATATATAGTTCAACAGGGAGTTTTTGCTTGCTGCATTTGATTCTTGTCAGAAAGCTGAGCAGCATGCAGTGAAAACCACCTGGACCTGAGGCTTTATTGTAAATGTAGACTGCTTGTAACAAAAAGCAAAGAAAGACAGTTGGGTTTTCTATTTATATGATGATATAGAGAATGAAGTGTCAGTCCTCAGTCACAAAGTGATATGAAGGGTCACGCAGGAAAGGAAAATTATTTACTTATTTATTTAAAGGTGCACTAACAGGGTCTCTAAGACCTGAGATGAAACTGATCTGATATCATAATACTGGGCTTCCCATGCATCAATCTTCACACATCAGTATTTCACACGCATGATGCAGAACAGCTAAAAATGGAGATTCTATTTAGACATCATTCTTAAGAGGTCAATTGCCAGAGTAAGGGATGGGACTTAGCAGAACCAAGAAAATTTCCATATGATTTGTATACCTGTGGCAAAACACGGCTTCAATAAAAACAAACATGCTGAGGAGATACAACACATAACAATGTTCTGTATTTCATAATAAAATGCAAAATACAGTTGTCAAGCTTTGCCACATTTTATTGCGCATTTTTGAACAATTTTTATGAGAGAGCAAAAAATGAAAATACCTTTTGTCCCAGTTTTTATGTCCTCCACTGTGCTCACTGACCTTCTGAGAGAAGTACTAGCTATTATTGTAAGTTTAGAAACTGCCTCACAAAGCAGAGCTTAGCCTTGTTGAGATCTCCAAGTACTTAACTGTTCCAACCCATCAGCAAACGTTTAAAGATTCCTGGCTGTATATAATGGTTTCAAGGGGACCAAACCTTCTTCATGAAAATTAGTCTGACCTATACAGCATATGCAAACATCACTGCAAACAAAAATATTGTACCTTACTGCTTTCTTAAAACCTGTTTGTAATAAAGCAAAACAAACAAAAAACCAGAACACCAAACCTCTCTGCCACAAATCTCCCAACAAGTCTTCCACAGATTTTTGTGTAGTGTTGAGTAAACAGATAAAACACACACAAATAAAGCACGAATAAAGAAAAAAATTAGCAACTATTCTGCAACTAGCATTTACCACTAATGAAAGAAAAAATACAGAAACTAAATCAGAGCATATTCCTTATTAATTTACTACAAGGTGAGTGCATGCATCTCATCCACTCTAAAGACAAAACTTAATAACCTAGGTAAACCAATGTGTTTCCAAAATAAGAATTTCAGGGGGAGGAAGTTAGACATCCTACTTGAATACCTGAAGTTAGCTGTACGTTCACTGATTTCACAAGCAACTTTGTTCAACATCCGTAAAAGATGTATCACTCTCTACTTCAAGAACTGAAGTAAACTAGAACACCCTCCTTTCAATTCACCTGCCTGCTTACTACAGTCTCACATAATCCTGTCAGCTTTTAACATGCTAAGCATATGTGACTTCACAGATCAAGTACTTGTGTGTAAAGGGTGATCATGTTCCTACCAGAATTTCTGTTCCAGGGCTTTTGTTGAGGAGGCAAACGCTGTGCACTGCAGAAGTCTGAGGGGCACTGGAAGACCAGATTTGCCAAAGCGGATTCTCCAGCTCCCCTTCCAAACTCCCACTCACAAAAATCCCTCACCTTATAAATATTTCAGTTTGGCCACCAATGCGTGTTCTCTCCATGAAAGCAGAAGACCAATAACACACCTCCAAGAAATCTGATTGCTTCTATACTTTCTTTAGTCATTTCCACAGGAGATATCATATATACACAAATTGGAGACTTACTCTAGCATCAAGGCTGCAACAAGTTAGGTTTCCCACTGCTACTACTGACATCGTTATCTCCCAAACACTAAATGCATATTCTAGAAGTTAAAAAAATTATGTACATTTCAATCTAATATCTAAATAATGCTTTAAAAGGCCAATTATTCAACAAGATAATTCATTATCATAACCACCAAACATGCAAAATTCCAGCCAACAGTCCTGCATGTTCTTGTCTAAGAATCTATCTTTATACATTCAAAAAGCAGTCCCACTAGAAATCTTATTAGTAAACTTTTAAATGAATGCCAAACCATTTCTCTGTTGTGACTATTGTCTCACATAATCCATTAACACTACACCTACAACTGAAGCATCACAAGTCACAGCTATTTTAAGTACTCTGTGCCAGATGCTCAGCCAGAACAAAATAACTGCAGATGTACTGACAAATGGGTCTGGAAAATACACATCAACATAGGACCTGAACTTCCACAGAACTGGTCACACAGGTTTGTAGAAGCCGATACTGCTCTTTAAGATTTTACTAACATCCCCATCTCCACCAAGTCAAAATTTCATTATGAAAGACCACCAAAAATATAAAGGATGAGGGACAGTTGAAATTTTAAGAGTTAGTTTCACTTTCACATCTTTGGGTGGAAAGGTAGGAACACAGGTAAGAACTGTATTAATGCCCAAAATGATCACAACAGCCACCTGCATTTTGTCACTCTCACTATTTAACAGTCCAGCTGGTGCTGAAGCTTATTAAAAAAAAAACCATTGCATAGAAGTAGACCATTTTTATAGCTATTCAACAAACTAAATTACTGAAATTAGATCCTCACCATCACAG